TTTATAAAAAAAGAAAACCGAGTGGCAGAATAATATAAAAAGCTTTAAATAAAAAATAAAAATTTAAAGTACACTTCTTAGCACAAGACTATGGACGAGATGATAATGTGTATACCTACATAGCAATTATAACAATTTTTAAAGAAAATGTCAGCATTAATGTAGAAAGCTCATATAAAATGTAAAGAAACACAGACAAAAACCATGCAAGCCTATTAATCCATAGGATTAAGGGAGATACAATGCATGACAATAGATATGCGCTACACATTAAGAAATTTATATAACAAACAAATAACACGAAAAAAGAAAGTGAGATTGATTGCAACACTGCACTACACTGCAAATAAAAACATGCGAGACATGCAAATAAAACCTACACGAAACAGAGAGAACATGCATTTAGTATGCATTTAGTATGCAATACATTGAATTCGTTAACCCAACGATATATAATATCATAAAAACAAAACTTCTAATCAAGCTTTCACACTTATCAAAATCAACAAGGGGAGACTGACCAAGCTGATTACGATGGTCATTTACATATTAATTGTCTACAATTTAAGGAATGGAAGGCAATAAATAGTGTTTGATAGAAAAATGTCCGGGCACATTTTAAATTGAAATAGTTAGATGAAGACATTGGTCTAAACACAGGCAATACACAGATAATGTATTAGGATGGTAGGTAATCATTTGAAAACACAGTCTTGATTTATATAATAGAAGGATTGGTCGTTTATTAAAGCTCTTATTTTTTAGTGCATTTATTATTGTCCTTTTACAATACTTGAAATTAATGTTAAATTTTGATTTTTGTGTCTATACATTAATTATAATACACTGTGATGGTTTTGTTATTTTCTATTATATACCTAGTAGGTACTGAATATCTTGACAAGAGAACAACTCAATGTTAACCAAGACTCAAGTGAGCCGAGAAGACAATAACTAAGTAAATACAAGTCTATCATGAAATGTCATACACAGAAATAGCAAATAAAGGTTATAACAGAAATTCGTAACTGAAAAATATAATACTAGAAAGGCAAACATGCAGTGAAACTAAAAAAAATATATATATATTTAAGATTTAAGAAAGTTAGATTAGAACTAAAGAACATTTTTAATAGCTAAGTTATTTAGAGGCAATTACGAATCAAATTACAATTAGTTAATCAAGAGACTAGAATAAGAAACCACGACATACCTGGTAAAGCAAACACCAAAAGAAAATATGGTCGTAAAATGTTAACTCAAACAAAGTGAAATTAAATCTCTTTATAATAAAATAATAAGCAATGTATCAAATAGCAGAGACATTGAACAAAACCGTAATAATCCTCAACGAACTGATTATTTTTACTGGGGTAAAAGAGGCTATTACAAGTCTGTATGTTGGTATAGATAGGCAGATAGAAGATAAAACAGTAATTCAAATACAGACACAAAAAGTAAACAAAAATTGCAGAAATGTCAAGAGACGAGTATCTTATGGAGGTAAGAAAAAATGCCATCATATAAACAGAATTATAATAAGTATTAAATCAAGGATAATTTTCAAAGACGAAGATATAGTAATGACCTATATATAGAACTGGTTGATATACCAAGCCAGCAAGGACATGGTAAACGTAATCAATGAAACTATGGCAGTATGAAAGCTAGAAGCTAAACATACAATTCAATGGAGCGATGGCAAACAGGTCATCAATTATATCAGGGTCGATTTAAATGTGAATATAAGCCCTAAGTCACATTAGTTGATTGGCAGGTTTACATTTTTTTTCAATTAGCGGAAATAATTTTTTTTAAAATCTTTTTTAATATTTACATATAATGTTACACAAAATGTTATTTTATCTTGACTTATTTTTTCTCAAACTGACACGTTTTGGTATTTAGCGTAAAATCGTTGTTGATTTTGTATAAGAACATGCTAATTGTAATTGTGTCACTGTAAAATTTCAGAACCTTTCTTAAATACTATTCGGTCCAAACATGTTTTCATAAAACACTTTTTTACACTTATAAGACGGTAAAACTACTATTTTACCGAAATGTTGTGCTTTCCTAAGCTCTTCGTCATCGCATTCCATGCTTCAACGCAGTAACCTCTGACCCGGCCGTTTAACTGTCCAGTCGGGTTAATTTTACTAAGTGACTAATCTTTGTGTTTGTAAGGTTCTTGGCACGGGTAACTCAGATAGTAAATATAGGTGTCTGTAAAAACTCATTCTCCCTTTCTTTATATATGTGATCTTTACGCTTACATAATAAACCGCCTCACCTACAGTGCAACAAGTTATAGAGAATAGCTCACATGTAGTTTAAATTTGCGAGCTACTATAAGCCTTTGATAGCGTATTTAAAGAAATTTGGTGGACGCTGCTCAGAAAATATAAAATTTTCACAAAAGCTTGTCAACATGATAATGGAAAAATATAAAGCACTATTGTAATGTATCATGAAAGGACATCAAATAAGAAATATAAAATGAGAAACATCCAACCATTTGAATTTAGATGCAGTTTAGCCAGAAAATGCTCGACGACTTTAACTTTCTTAAAATCCTCAAGCGCGGTGAAAATAAATCGAATTAGTGCAAGCGTTTTGAATTATATACCGGACATTGAATCTTGACCACATTAATTTACTATGGCCAATGTAAACTGATATGATAACAATAAGGTGTTTTAAATCAACACCAGAAGCTAATTGCCATTCAATCGTAATCAGGGCTAAGCTGGATAATCTGTCTTCGGATGTATGTGTTCAGGATCTGTCTGTACAAAGTCATAATTTCGTGATTGAAAAAGTTTTGTTGGCAATCTTGTTACTTTCAGAGTTTTTATGTTTGTCAAATTTGTCAGGGTCTTTTGCAAAGCTCTTACAACCCAGTTTTGGATCAACCCAAATGTCTGACTTGTTTGTAAAAAGCCAAAAATTAAAATAAATCATAATATTTGCCTTGGGCGAATATACTATAGTTTCGTATTATTTCCCAACATTTCGTTTGGGTTTTTTTCTTTCTTGCTCTACCATCCTAAATATTCGTCTTTGCTGGTTTTCTTTCCATTTAAACCTCTTAATAAACAAATTATAAGCGCCACTGTTGTCTTAGTCGTAATATCTTTAGTTTAATACACCAAATAATTTAAATGGAGCCCTTACCTTTTGATAATTATTAACCATTCGAAATAAATACAAGCATTACAACAGCTGAGCAGATAATTAATTGTACAGTCAGTGTTAGTTTAAGAAGAGTTGTTTTTGTTTTATAGCCTGGTCATCCGGTAACCTGTATTCGGCGGAGAGTGGAAAGGTATGACCATAGACACAGCTCACCCGCCGAAACGTAAAAAGCACCCGACCGAATAAGTCGACTTCCCGGCACTTTCGGGTTTGTACGTGAAGGCAAAAATGTGTCCCTAACCTTTTTTTAAGGTCCCAACACCTCCCCCCCTCACTACGGTCAAGCTGGGTACCAGGTGGTAGGACACGGTGTCCCGCGCAAATTGGGTAGGGAAGACAAGCCTGCTGAGAACGTACTGATGAAACGCGACCAACATGTAGTGTTCAACCAGGCGTCGTCAAAGCCATTTGGTCGGAGTTTACCACGTCGAGACCTGCCTGGCTTATAGGAGGTCAGATGATGAGTCGGTATTCCCGTTTAAAGAAAGTCACGAAATCGTAATCACTATTAACACTTAATATGTGTTTATGTATTATTAAAATATAAAAACTTCCTACCTGATTGTTGTGAGAGAGAAGAACAATCTTTACATAACAATCGATGGATCTGTTTTTATACAAAATATTTATACACAACATGTGTAATATTTGTTTGGATGTATTTGTTTTTTTTTAATCGATATAATGAGAAGTAATACAAGTCTCAAGAAAATAAAAACACAAAACATTGAAATGCTTCGATAACAAATGTGTGGATAATTGCATAAATATAAATATAACAAATCATTCTAAAACCTACATATTTAGAATAGTACGATCATGATCCTTAATGTAATATCGATCTTCATCCTCTTGATCGAGTAATATCCTACTTTAACTGATTAGACGGCGTATGGGTAAATTAGAGAGTAATTGTTACCGGGCTAATGTTCTGCGCAATTAGTTAGCTTGTCACAATGGTAATCAACTGGGTGATCACGGGGTGATAGGGAAGCGTTACATTTATTGACAAAGTTAACATCACTGTAGGCCTATGAGTTTACCTGTCTAGTACCTTCTATGTGAAAAGATATACATTGAATTAAGTCTCGCGGTCAGTATTAGAATATATCCCTTAAATGCATACCACTACAGATCTGCAACATACCAGCTACCTTCCCCTTAAATATTAGCCTAAACATGTTTGATTCTGTGCATCGCGTTATTTGACTGCTACAATGTTAACCTACAGCTTGCGCATGTCTAAGTGATCTAGATTTGTTTTACCGCCAAGCCGATCTCTAATTTGTGCATGGTCACAAGGTTTTTTATCTCAGCATTTTTGGTTGGCGTTTCAAAGTTCATCAAAGTCGAATAAACTGGTTTTGGAATTTTAAAAAATATGTATCTGACTACCTAAGGTATGTATTACATATTGTATGTGTTATTTTAAAAATCAATTCATAATTTATTTATAAATCTTCACAAAACGTTGGTTGTAGTACTGCAACGTTATGCATATTGACCTACTTTTGCACTTTTGTTTTTACTTTATATATCAGCTTTGATGATTTATATAGTACCTTGTTTTTCTTCTAGTTTCAGCATAATCATTAAGAAATCAAAGGTGAATCAAAGTGAAGAATATTATGAAGTAGATGCTCTTGGTGATCCAGAGTATCTTCCTGTATCTCCAGGACCAGTGTGGATCCTGGATATCATATACCAGTGTGGACCCTGGATATCCTGGACCAGTGAGGGCACCCAGTCTCGTGGACTAGTGTGGACCCTGGATCTCCTGAATCAATGTGGACCCTGAATCTTTAGGACCAGTGTGGACCATAGATCTCCTGGACCAGGGTGGAGCCTAGACCTCCAGGACCAGTGCGGACCCTGGATCTACAAGACCAGTAAGGACCCTGGATATTCTTGACCAGTGTGGACCCTGGATCTCCTTAACCATTGTGGACACTAAGTCTCGTGGAATAGTGCAATGACAGGTGCAAATTCACATCAAGCTCAAACAGTTTGCCACAAGTGCAACAGATATCTTTGTTGTAACAAGATCAACAACTGTCGTAAAAAGTATGACCTTACTACATAATGTTGCAGACATGCAACAATTCGATTGTTAATTGAAGAACATTTTTAACTAAAAATATTTTTTACTTGACTATACTCTTCATATACCTTTTTTTTCATGCATTATTAAAAAGTCATGCATTTAAGGGATATGTAAGCCTATTGACGTATGTAATTTTTGTTAGTTATAACGTATCACTTCTTTGTTGCAAATGTCTAGACATGCTTCTGTAAGCTACACAAATTACTTACCTTTCAAAGTTGCGGCCATCTGCGTCGTTTTGTACACTGACGGTTGAGTCGCTCAGTTGGTTTTTGGTGTCGTTTTGTACATCTTGTTTTAGTGCTGTGTATTTAATAAAAATTCGATATGTATTATTATACTGATCCCAAGGGTACATATTCGATATAATTAATTATTCAAATCTAGAAGTTGATACACATTAATGCAGGCATTTAGCTATTTTAAAATGTAATTTCTAAATAGGTGTTACGTGTATGTTATTTTTTGTTTAGAGTTTTGGTTAATTGGAACAGATGCTAAAGTGAACCGCATTGAAAAATATATAACAACATTGATAGGGATAGAGTTAGGGTTAAGATAGGGATTTAGTTACAGTTAGTTTAACAGCAAGGTTTAATTTCAGGCGATAGGCAATAGGCAATTTTAAGAAATGGTTAGAGTAAAAGATACTCCTAAAGTTGGGGATGAAATATATTTTACGATAGATGTTTTGGAAAAAGTTTGTAAGGAGATTATTGTAAAGGGTGAAGATAGGGATTTAGTATCTGGTTTTGGCAAGACATAATGACATAATGACAAGTCTTCGCACTAAATATTTATAATGTACTGATTCTAAATTAATTCAACGTTTAGGGATTATTGGAGTTCTAAGATGATGTTCTATCCAATTTGTTTTTATGCAATGCAATGCGAATTGGAAACAAACCGATAAAACTTATAGTATGATGCACATAACAAACGACAATGGATCATCGTGTTCAATTAAGTTAGCTTAATATACATGCCTAGAAGATATCAATGTTGGTGTAATTTATCTTAATAAAATGAATCAGGGGTCTGCAAACTACGGCCCGCAAGTTCTTTTTGTCCACGGAAAAGAAAGATGTGTGTTAGAGGTGAATGAGGAACTTTGCCCAGAAAATTCAAAACAATTTGAATATATATATATATATATATATATATATATATATATATATATATATATATATATATATATATATATATATATATATATATTCATAATATTGATGAATTATAGATACCTTTTTTAAATATAGATATTAAAAAATGAAATTTTTTTGTTGATGTTGTTTTATCGAAAATTTTAAAGTTCATTGAAGATACCATATCGATAACATGCTTTTGCTTCTTTTCAAATGCAAGAAAACACACATCAATCAAGTCCAACAACAGAGTCGTTGTTGAACTAAACGTATTGAGGCAATCTTCAGAATAATTTTTTCGATCACATAAAAATGAAGTGTCTTTATCTATTTTCGTTACATAAGTTATGTCTGCTCCACCGTTTATTATAATATCTACCATTTTGTGGTGTCCATTTTTAGATGCAATCATTAAGGCATTCCATCCATCATCTTCAACATGATTTCTGTCTGCTCCTGCTTTAATAAGAATATCTACCACCTTGTCGTGTCCATTTTGAGATGCAATCATTAAGGCATTCCATCCATTTTGTTTTACATAGTTTATGTCTGCTCCTGCTTTAATAAGAATATCTACCACCTTGTCTTGTCCATCTAGAGATGCAATCATTAAGGCATTGTATCCATCTTGTTTTACATAGTTTATGTCTGCTCCTGCTTTCAGAAGAATATTTACCACCTTGTCTTGTCCATTTTGAGATGCAATCATTAAGGCATTATGTCCATCATGTTCCAGGTGATTTATGTCTGCTCCTGCTTTAATAAGAATATCTACAACCTTGTCGTGTCCATATAGAGATGCAATCATTAAGGCATTATATCCATCATTTGCCACTTTATGTATGTCTGCTCCTGCTTTAATAAGAATATCTACAACCTTGTCGTGTCCATTGTAAGATGCAATCAATAAGGCATTATATCCATCAATTGCCACTTTATGTATGTCTGCTTCTGCTTTAATAAGAATATCTACCACCTTGTCGTGTCCATATAGAGATGCAATCATTAAGGCATTATATCCATCATTTGCCACTTTATGTATGTCTGCTCCTGCTTTAATAAGAATATCTACAACCTTGTCGTGTCCATTGTAAGATGCAATCAATAAGGCATTATATCCATCAATTGCCACTTTATGTATGTCTGCTTCTGCTTTAATAAGAATATCTACCACCTTGTCGTGTCCATTAAAAGATGCACTCATTAAGGCATTATATCCATCATTTGCCACTTCATGAATGTCTGCTCCTGCTTTAATAAGGATATCTAACACCTTGTCGTGTCCATTTTTAGATGCAATCATTAAGGCATTATATCCATCATTTGCCACTTTATGTATGTCTGCTCCTGCTTTAATAAGAATATCTTCCACCTTGTCGTGTCCATTGCGAGATGCACTCATTAAGGCATTATATCCATCATTTCCCACTTTATGTATGTCTGCTCCTGCTTTAATAAGAATATCTAACACCTTGTCGTGTCCATTGCGAGATGCACTCATTAAGGCATTATATCCTTCATTTGCCACTTTATGTATGTCTGCTCCTGCTTTAATAAGAATATCTAACACCTTGTCGCGTCCATTTTTAGATGCAATCATTAAGGCATTATATCCATCATTTGTCACATTATGTATGTCTGCTCCTGCTTTAATAAGAATATCTACCACCTTGTCGTGTCCATTTTGAGATGCAATCATTAAGGCATTATATCCATCATTTGTCAAATTATGTATGTCTGCTCTTGCTTTAATAAGAATATCTACCACCTTGTCGTGTCCATTTTGAGATGCAACCATTAAGGCATTATATCCATCATTTGAGACATTATGTATGTCTGCTCCTGCTTTAATAAGAATATCTACCACCTTGTCGTGTCCATTGTGAGATGCAATCATTAAGGCATTACGTCCATTCTGTGTTACATAGTTTATGTCTGCTCCTGCTTCCAGAAGAATATCTACCACCTTGTCGTTTCCATTTAGAGATGCAAACATTAAGGCATTATTTTCATCACTTGCCACTTTATGTATGTCTGCTCCTGCTTTAATAAGAATATCTACCACCTTGTCGTGTCCATATAGAGATGCAATCATTAAGGCATTATATCCATTTTGATTTACATAGATTATATCTGCTCCTGCTTCCAGAAGAATATCTACCACCTTGTTGTGTCCAGTTGTAGATGTAATCATTAAGGCATTATATCCATTTTGTTTTACATAGATTATGTCTGCTCCTGCTTCCAGAAGAATATCTACCACCTTGTCGTGTCCATTTAGAGATACAATCCTTAAGGCATTATATCCATCTTGTTTTACATAGTTTATGTCTGCTCCTGCTTCCAGAAGAATATTTACCACCTTGTCTTGTCCATTTTGAGATGCAATCATTAAGGCATTACGTCCATCATGTTCCAGGTGATTTATGTCTGCTCCTGCTTTAATAAGAATATCTACCACCTTGTCGTGTCCATTTTGAGATGCAATCATTAAGGCATTATATCCATTTTGTTGTACTTGATTTAGGTCTGCTCCAGCTTTAATAAGAATATCTACCACCTTGTCGTTTCCATTTTGAGATGCAATCATTAAGGCATTATATCCATTTTGGTGTACTTGATTTATGTCTGCTCCTGCTTTAATAAGAATATCTACCACCTTGTCGTGTCCATTTTGAGATGCAATCATTAAGGCATTCCATCCATTTTGTGTTACATAGTTTATGTCTGCTCCTGCTTTAATAAGAATATCTACCACCTTGTCTTGTCCATTTTGAGATGCAATCATTAAGGCATTACGTCCATCATGTTCCAGTTGATTTATGTCTACTCCCGCTTTAATAAGAATATCTACCAACTTGTCGTGTCCATTTTGAGATGCAATCATTAAGGCATTATATCCATTTTGTTGTACTTGATTTATGTCTGCTCCTGCTTTAATAAGAATATCTACCACCTTGTCGTGTCCATTTTGAGATGCAATCATTAAGGCATTATATCCATCATTTGTCAAATTATGTATGTCTGCTCTTGCTTTAATAAGAATATCTACCGCCTTGTCGTGTCCATTTTGAGATGCAACCATTAAGGCATTATATCCATCATTTGAGACATTATGTATGTCTGCTCCTGCTTTAATAAGAATATCTACCACCTTGTCGTGTCCATTGTTTGATGCAATCATTAAGGCATTACATCCATTCTGTGTTACATAGTTTATGTCTGCTCCTGCTTCCAGAAGAATATCTACCACCTTGTCGTTTCCATTTAGAGATGCAAACATTAAGGCATTATTTTCATCACTTGCCACTTTATGTATGTCTGCTCCTGCTTTAATAAGAATATCTACCACCTTGTCGTGTCCATATAGAGATGCAATCATTAAGGCATTATATCCATTTTGATTTACATAGATTATATCTGCTCCTGCTTCCAGAAGAATATCTACCACCTTGTTGTGTCCAGTTGTAGATGTAATCATTAAGGCATTATATCCATTTTGTTTTACATAGATTATGTCTGCTCCTGCTTCCAGAAGAATATCTACCACCTTGTCGTGTCCATTTAGAGATACAATCCTTAAGGCATTATATCCATCTTGTTTTACATAGTTTATGTCTGCTCCTGCTTCCAGAAGAATATTTACCACCTTGTCTTGTCCATTTTGAGATGCAATCATTAAGGCATTACGTCCATCATGTTCCAGGTGATTTATGTCTGCTCCTGCTTTAATAAGAATATCTACCACCTTGTCGTGTCCATTTTGAGATGCAATCATTAAGGCATTATATCCATTTTGTTGTACTTGATTTAGGTCTGCTCCAGCTTTAATAAGAATATCTACCACCTTGTCGTTTCCATTTTGAGATGCAATCATTAAGGCATTCCATCCACTTTGTGTTACATAGTTTATGTCTGCTCCTGCTTTAATAAGAATATCTACCACCTTGTCGTGTCCATTTTGAGATGCAATCATTAAGGCATTATATCCATTTTGTTGTACTTGATTTAGGTCTGCTCCAGCTTTAATAAGATTATCTACCCCCTCGTCGTGTCCATTTTCAGATGCAAGCAATAAGGCATTCCATCCTTCATCTTCCACATGATTTATGTCTTTTCCTGCTTTTATTAGAATATCTACCACCTTGTCGTCTCCATTTCGAGACGCAAAAGTTAAGGCATTAAATTCATTTTTCCTGAACGCATTGCCCATTTTTATACAATGTAGAATGTGCTTATGACCGTTGGTTACTTTTGCATCAATAAATGTCGCACGGTTGGTGTTCAAAGTTGCGTTTTATGCTCAGACCAATTTTATATTTCTTCATCTCCATGAAAAGCTTGAAAACCAATTCACGAAAACTGAATACATAGCATCAACTGAAATATAAATACAATTAAAATAAGGTATTAAAAACATTGTGGAAGAAAATCAGAAAATGGTGAAACAAATACAGCACAATTCTCACACTAAAATTAGTAGACAGGAAATTTAATCATTACACAGAAGGCAGCCATTTAAACTAAAAATGTTTTATATGGAAAATTCTTTTTAAGTTATACTACAGACAAGTTGTGTTTAAAATAATATTTGATAGAAAATTTCTTAACTATTGATACGTATTGAACTCAGGTTCCAGAGCAATCCACTCTCAAAATTAAATTAGTCGGCATGACAATGTAGACTAGCTTGCCCGTCCCGCGCGTTGCCGCGGAGATAGAAGAAAGTCCCAATGTCATACCGCAGATAGATAGAATAAGAATAGACTGGTAGAGACTAATAAGGACGGTGTAAACTTGACGGTAGACGATTTGATTTGAGAGTAAGTGCGTGTGTTTAATAAAATATGTGTGGCGTTAGTGTGACGTGAGCGTGACGCGACAATGTTATGGATTACGTAGGACGCAGGAGAGAAGACAGTTGGAGGTTAGCCATTGTAGGAAAATGAAGTGTTTTTATATTGTGCAATATTAGTATTTGATAATAAAGTTAATTATATTTTATGATCGAAGTTGTTGATATCGTTATCTTAGTGTCGTGGGAAAATAAGAGTGTTCCCGTTCTCATCACATGTATATAGTAATATAATTAGAGTGTTTGTTATAGCAGTAGTAATCTAATAGATTCATATAGCAACGTAAACATTTCCCCCATCATACCCCGGGGTAAATCGCACCGTTTAGGGGCGTCGAAGGACGCGCCTGATTCCGTTAATGAAATACTGTAGTACTACACGTTATTCATATTCTATCACAATCTTTAAAATAAACGTATGCGCCATAGCGCTACCGGGATAAAGCATAAAGCATAAAGCCTCAAGTTGCACTTTGTTAGGCGCCAGCGAATGTGCCTAACTCATATTAGTAAACGACTAAACAATCATATTCATAATCTATCGCACTGTTTAATAATAACGTAGGCGCCAAAGCTTTCATGGCATAAGCCGGGGTGCCAAATTACTTCCTGTCGGTTTGCTGCCGGTGCAAAATTGAATTTCTTTTCGCATAAGCCTCCCAAGGAGTATTTTCAACAATTTTCTAAGGTTTTATGGGGATCAGATGAAAGGTGTAGCAAAACATAAAAGACAAATAAAATATGACAAAATATATTGGGAGGCTTTAATTAATGCTTTACCTATCCTATATTTTCAGACGAGTGACCTTGTTTTTTTTCTAAAATTGATGTTTCTTTTTAAGATGTAAAAAATGCCTGCTTTTGGATCATATTTGTGGGGCCAAAAAGCCCCGGGGTGCCATATCGCACCCTGTCGGGCGCCGGCGGACGCGCCTGATTATGTTTAGTGAACGACCCTGAAACCGAAACTTATGCAGTCTTTTGGAATGTTTAAAACGGGCATAGGCGCCATATCGGGGCGTCAAATTGCACCCGGGGCACTGGGGAACTCGCCTTATTCAATTTATTAAACGACTTTAACATCCTATTTTATCAATAGCCTATCGTATTATTTTAAAACGAGCGTAGGCGCCATGGTGGTCACTGATAAGCCGGGGCGCTAAATCACCCCCTGCCTATGCGCCAAAGGACAAGCATCATTCGATAAAGTCAACGATTATTGTTGCCCATCGTGTCTTTAATGTACAGCCTTTTTTAAAAAACGAAAGTAGGCGCCTTAGTGCTTACATTGGAGCCCGAGTCGCTTCTTGTCTAACAATAGCCGAAAAGCCAGCGGCTGCGCCTTTTGAAGGTTTAACGCTGAATATAGTAGTATTTCTTAACCGCTATGCAGGACACCCGATTAACGGATACCAACTGCTTAGATAGACTTGATGTTGACTTTCTTTCATAGTTTTTAGTGCTTTTCATTCACTTTTAAATCTAAAAAATTCTAAGAGATGTATCACTCATCCAACAGGATTGAGTATGCAGTTTAGTTCTAAATTACAAGCTAGTGTTTATTGCGATTTGTTATGATTATATTCGAATAGTCTCATCCATATTTAACATGTTAACTGGATATCTATATTCTTAGTTCTTGTACTAATTTATCTTGTTTCGATTTGACATACTAATTTTACTGGTAGGTGAAAATGTTAGGAACTTGTGCAGAGCTAAAAAGTATTGTTTAAACAAAGAAAAAGCCATATAAAAAAATTGCTAACATTTATTCAGCGGATGATATATTCAAAATAAAGATAGAGGGCGATGCGTTGTTATAGCTTTCAAAAACTCAATTAGCTATGAAAAATGCAAAGAATTGTTGAAAACAAAATATGCTGATGTTGTCGAGGAAAAAAGGGATGAAGATGGCGCCTATGTAGAATATATTTTTAAATTACCAAGGCTGTCTGTCCATCTTTACCACACGAATAACAAAATTATGGTACAGGGTAAATTTTAAATTGTGGTTAGAACCTGTAAAAAAAAAATAAAGACACTAAAACCAAAAAAAATTCTGATATTAAAAAAAATTGCAATGAGCTTAGTTAAAAAATTATAAATAAAGAGGTGATGTTGCGTAAATTAAAATAGTTTAACATTTAAGCAACTGTCTAAAGCAAAGTGTGTTGGTTGCATCTAATTGCGGTAAATTCATATTCGCCACTACCCCCTACGCCCTATATATATATATATATATATATATATATATATATATATATATATATATATATATATATATATAATTTAAATATCCCTTGCTTGGACGGCGGACTGTATTTTCAATTGTATTCTAAAAAATGTATATACCATCAGCCGTGTTTTAACTTGACTGGTCCATGCATTTCACGATTACATTGTAACCGGTACAGCTGGAATAATAATTATACCTTAGCTAGATACATAGAGACTAGTATGCCTTCTATTACAGTCTGTTACATTCCGCTATGCTGTAGAATCTTCAAATACGTTTGATTGAGGCTTAAATTAAAGGGCACTCAGTATGTTTATTCAAGCTAATTACTACTTACGTAAAAATACGTCACGTGATAACTGTTAAAATTATTGATTGGACAAAGTGGTAAAGTGTGAAACTGTTAGATACGACATTAAAGTGTAGTGTAGATATGACATGAATGTGTGGTGTAGATATAACATTAATGTGTGGTGTGGATATGACATTAATGTGTAGTGTAGATATGACGTTAGTGTGTAGTGTAGATATGACATTAATGTGTAGTGTAGATATGACATTAATGTGTAGTGTAGATATGACATTAATGTGTAGTGGAGATATGACATTAATGTGTAGTGTAGATATGACATTAATGTGTAGTGTGGATATGACATTAATGTGTAGTGTAGATATGACATTAATGTGTAGTGTAGATATGACATTAATGAGTAGTGTGGATATGACATTAATGTGTAGTGTGGATATGACATTAATGTGTGGTGTGGATATGACATTAATGTGTAGTGTAGATATAACATTAATGTGTAGTGTAGATATGACATTAATGTGTAGTGTAGATATGACATTAATGTGTAGTGTCGATATGACATTAATGTGTAGTGTAGAAATGACAACATTAATGTGTAGTGTGAATATGACATTAATGTGTAGTGTGAATATAACATTAATGTGTATTTTGGATATGACATTAATGTGTAGTGTAGATATGACATTAATGTGTAGTGTGGATATGACATTAATGTGTAGTGTGGATATAACATTAATGTGTAGTTTGGATATGACATTAATGTGTAGTGTGGATATGGCATTTATGTGTAGTGTAGATATGACATTAATGTGTAGTGTGGATATGACATTAATGTGTAGTGTGGATATAACATTAATGTGTAGTTTGGATATGACATTAATGTGTAGTGTGGATATGGCATTTATGTGTAGTGTAGATATGACATTAATGTGTAGTGTGGATATGACATTAATGTGTAGTGTGGATATGACATTAATGTGTAGTGTGGATATGACATTAATGTGTAGTGTAGATATGACAAGTGAGTGTATAATCAGATTATGTATGGCCAGACAGGAGTAGATTTCTAACATTGACGTAAGCTTGGACTTATAATACCGGGATTCAACAATTTTTTACACGTCCCTCTTCCTCCCCTCACACACCTACATACACATATTTTTGATTGCTGGTATTGTTAAAAATAAAACAATTATTATATTGTGTCTATTGGTGCCGATTACAATGTGCTACACACATTAACACTATATACTAGAGCAAAGTAAAAACCTGAAGCAGCGATCGAATAATACGTCATTGAATGTTTTGATCAATGTATAGATGAGTGTAGATAAATCCGCTGCAGTTCCGCCAATTCTCTAAAATGTAAAGTTTGACCTGGATGTAGCCTAACTATGTGTGTCCCGTTGTGCTAAAATCGATAAGATTTAATGACAGAGATCTCAGGTGTCAGTGGATAAGATTTAATGACAGAGA